TATTAAAATATAGCACAGAGTAAGGACAAGTATTAAGTATGATTCTTTGAAACATATATTTTTATTGGGTTGCTGTGTATTTTCTTGCTGTGTTTATAGTACAAACAAACAAACCACTGTGAAAGCCACTGGTCTAAGAAAATTGTGTACTTTGACACTCATTAAGAATCTCACCAGATCAGGTCTATTGATAACAAAGTTTTTCAAGTTCAGTGGATACCAGTATAGTATGGATTCCTAAGATTCTCTTCTATCTTGTATGTAAAAACATGCTTTTCATATCATGTTATGGGGCACATGGAGAACCTGGAAACAGGGAAATGAACCTTGCAGAGTTAGGTCACTCCTCTCCGAAGTAGTGGAAGGATTTCAAAAGTGCCCCCACCATTCACCCTTATCTGCATTAGTAGTAAGTGAAGAATCAGGGTAAGTCCTGAGAAGGATCTTGGCATTTAGTTTTTGTCCTTAGCAAATAATAATGACATGAATAGCAAAGTTATGTTAATATTTATTAATTGTGTCTCTTTTCTTAAATTTTTAGGAAGCAGGAAATTTATGATTTATTCTATTTAGAAAAATGATTGCATATTAACTTTGTGCCGGGTTCTGTTCTAAGGGCTTTACAGGAACTCATTTAATGCTCACTGCTGTACTATGCATTAGATACTACTCATGTCCCCATTGGATAGAGGCACAGAGAGGTTAAGTAAGTAGTCCATGGTCACAAAGCATACCCAAGCAGCCCAACTCCAGAGCCAGTGCTCTCATATTGTGTAGGCCTTAAAAAGCCCATGTCATGGGGCACCTGGGTGGCTTAGTGGGTTAAGCCTCTGCCTTCAGCTCAGGTCATGATCTCAGGGTCCTGGGATCAAGCCCCGCATCGGGCTCTCTGCTTACCAGGGAGCCTGCTTCCTCCTCTCTCTCTCTGCCTGCCTCTCTGCCTACTTGTGATCTCTGTCAAATAAATAAATAAAATCTTAAAAAAAAAAAAAAAAGTCCATGTCATGACATCATGCCAAAATGCTGTGGCCATCTCTCTTCGTCTGATAGCAGTGAAGACATTTCTAGATCCTCAGATATTCTTTCTGCATCTTAAATGGATTGAGAACCATCTGGAAGGTGGTGGATTTCTAACGTTAGTTGGAAATACCCTGATGTTTCCTTTTTGGTTACTTCACAGGTTCATCAGACCGTATCAGCCTTAAAAACCAATAACATAAATGTCAGTGCCCGGGTACAGGCAAATGCATTTTTCTCTGGGGACCAGGTTTCCAGTGACAAGGAAGGTAAGTAAGTCATTTTGTCAGAAATCATTTTTGCCTGCAGTAAGTTGCTGGTGTATAAATGCCTGTCTTGTGATTTTAAAATCTTTTTTTTTTTTTTTAAGATTTTATTTATTAGAGAGAGGGCACATGCACGAGTATGGAGGAAGAGAGGGGAAGAGGAAGAGGGACAAGCAGACCCCCTGCTGAGCAGGAAGCAGGCCATGGGACTTGATCCCAGGACCTTGAGGTCATGACCTTAGCTGCGGGCAGACGCTTAACTGGCTGAGCCACCCAGGCGTCCCCGATTTTACCATCTTAGTGTCTCAGAAGCTTAACTATCTTGCCCTTGTATTCTCTTAGATCTTGTGGCATGTGTGCATTTCAGTTCAGAACCCAGGAATATTTTTACCATTGATCATTTCTGTCACTAATTGATACTTAAATCATGCCTTCAGCACATATACTATTTTGCACTAATAGCGATAACCAGCCTAACAGCTCTGGTTATCATTTATTGAGAGTGTTCTGTGTGCCAAGCCCTTTGCCTGAGTGGCCTGTGGACACACAGGATGTCAGCTGACCCTCCCTGTTAAGTCTCATCTAATGGGGAGAGTCTGGAAGCTGCACCCAGAGTCCCACAGTGAGTGAGTGGTGAAGCTGAGTGACCCACGGAGATTGCCTGATTCTGAAGCCCACACACTTCCTGTTTTTGTCCTACTGTTTGTGTGGCCCTGGGTTTCCAAGGGGCTGCACCTCTCTGCATCTTACTCTCAAGAAGTATATGTCCTGGGGTGCCTGGGTAGCTCAGTGGGTTAAAGCCTCTGCCTTCGGCTCAGGTCATGATCCCGGGGTCCAGGGATTGAGACCCGCATCGGGCTCTCTGCTCAGCAGGGAGCCTGCTTCCCCCTCTCTCTCTGCCTGCCTCTCTGCCTACTTGTGATCTCTGTTTGTCAAATAAATAAATAAAATCTTTTAAAAAAAAAAAAAGTATATGTCCTACTATTGGTCTTAGTATGTCAATTTTAGGTGAAAATGGATTCCCTTGGCAATTTTTTTCTTTTAGGTTATTAACGTACATTCTTCTGCTTTTTCTAGTATGTGTCCTCTTGTTTTTGTATGTATAGTTGAATAAAAACAGCTACATAATGCAATTAACATTCCCGAATGGTGGGACAGAAACTTTTCTGACTTTAAGCTCCAATTCAGTGTTCTCCTGTTGTGGGCATACAACTCCAAAGCATCTGAGTGTCATCATTAAAACAAAACTAGGACCAGGGGCCTGTTTGTGATTGAAAGTAATGCAGGCAGTCCCTGATTTGCAGAAATCTAGCTTTAAACACCTTGCACATATAGACGGTAGAGGACTCCTGCTGTTCTGGAAATGGTGGAGAGCTTTGGCTATCCCGAGTTTACCAGCTCTCATGGTTTCTGATTGGCTTTAACAGAAGAGAAGGAGTTGAGTCAAATGGATGGATGGACCCTAGATTTTTTTTTTTTAAGAAGGTGAAGGGATGTTAGAAATTATTTAGTCAGATTTCATTTTTTTTTTTTAAAGATTTTATTTATTTATTTGACAGAGAGAGATCACAAGTAGGCAGAGAAGCAGGCAGAGAGAGAGAGAGAGAGAGAGAGAGAAGCAGGCTCTCTGTCGAGCAGAGAGCCCGATGCGGGACTCGATCCCAGGACCCTGAGATCATGACCTGAGCCGAAGGCAGCGGCTTAACCCACTGAGCCACCCAGGCGCCCCAGGCAGATTTCATTTTAAAAGTAAAGAACTGTGGTCTCAGAGAGTAGATGACTTATCCAAGGTCACCAGTCCTAGCTAGGAGGTCACATCTTCTGCTCTGAATCCAGTGTTTGTGCCAGTCTCTAAACATAATGGTCTGGGCAAGGCTATATTACCACTTAAGGCTTAGCCATAAAGTAAGCTTTCCTTTTTTTAGATCTTTAGCTCAGTAAGCCACCAGAAGTGGTAAACAAATAACGTGTTCACTTTCTTAATTCCCTTTGTCTATTCATGACTTATTGGATAATTACTAATCTAGAACCAAGAGCACATTTTAAGAGGGGCCCAGTGATAACTTTCAGTTATCAGTGAATAACTTTCAGTAAATAACTTTACTATGTTGGTAGTTAAGGTCTCTCACTGAAGACTTTGAGGCTTTGTGCTCCAGAAAGCAGTCACTTTAATGCTCAGGCAAATTATTGTCTTAGTTTGAAGGCAGAAGAGAAAGAAAAAAAGAAGCAAACGAATATCCCAGCAACAAACCTGAGATGGTCCTTTTGGTAGCTTATATTCCCCGTGTGATCATCCCATATATAAAGTTTGATTATCCTCTAGTACTCTACATAAAATATGAATTAAAGAACAGGGCTTTAAAACAGATTCTGACTTCCATAACTGCATCTCCTCCATACCACGGCTTCCTTTTAGTACTGAGTGTCCATGTGCTTTAGAATTAATGATCAAACATTCTGCTGAGCTTAGTTTTTTCCACGTTTGAAGACATTTTTATTAGTTTGAGAGTATATATAATGTTCAGGTACTTGACAGAGACGTATCATCTATGACATCTCTTAAATGAATGTATTCATTACTGTTCACTAATTAGATTCATTCTATATTGAAACAGACCTAAAACAATTAGTCTTCATAAGCATGAATATGTCATACTGTTACAGCTGATTTCGAGCTTTATTTGTATTCAAAGGCCTCAACTAAGAAAAAGACCCTGAATTTTTGTTTTAAACTATCATTTGATGGGCATCTGCTATATTCTGTCATATCGCATCCATGAAATCACTCACTGCTGTAACCATGGATCACATCCCCATTTTACAAATGGGAAAATGGAGGCTAAGAGCTTAAGTGAGTCTCTAAGGCCAGAGAGAGCCAGAGCTTTAACTCTGATCAATTTGACTAAAATTACCATAATTACAACTGATTTTTTTTTGCACTCTCCATTCTCTCTCTTTCAGAGGATTATATTCGTTATGCTCATGGCCTGATATCTGATTACATCCCTAAAGAATTAAGTGATGACTTAGCGAAGTATTTAAAGTAAGTATCGTTCATCTTTAACCATAATTAGGAAGTACCTTGGTGCTTCTTGGTTTCCCAACAATAGGTTCCTTAATGGCTCTATCACATCACTGCTTCTCATAAATTATTCTTGAGTTACCTCCTAGACTCTGTGGTTGAAGGTGGTTTTTAATAGACACTGATTTATTGGAACAAAATGATTTGGTGGATACTGATTGCAGAAACTGGTGAGTATTAGGACTGGAATTATGGGTTGGTGTGATTTTAGAGTGTAAACGGTATACAGTTTTATCCCCAGTTAGACTTCACTAATGTGGTTTTTTTTTTTTTTTTTAAGATTTTATTTATTTGACAGACAGAGATCACAAGTAGGCAGAGAGGCAGGCAGAGAGAGAGGAGGAAGCAAGCTCGCCACTGAACAGAGAGCCCAACATGGGGCTCGATCCCAGGACCCTGGGATCATGACCCGAGCTGAAGGCAGAGGCTTTAACCCACTGAGCCACCCAGGTGCCCCACTAATGTGGTTTTTTGTGATCATTTTAGTATATGTGCTGCCGAAGCGAGTACTGTGATCATTTTAAGAGAAATGAAGATTAGAAGAAAATAAGAGATGCCATGTAGAATTTTTTTTTTTTAAAGATTTTTGTTTTTAATTAGAGAGAGAGCAAGAGCGGGGGTGGGGGGGTGGGGAAGGTGGAGGGGAGGGACAGAAGGAGTGGGAGAAGCAACTCCCTGCTGAGCAAGGAGCCCAGCGCAGGACTTGATCCCAGGACTCTGAGATCATGACCAGAGCCAAAGGCAGATGCTTAACCAACTGAGCCACCAGGTGCCCCTAGAATATTTTTGAAGGTTGCATTTAAAGGTTTTGTACCACTTTCACTTTCATGAGATGTTTGCCAAGTACCTTTATTATGCCTAGCTCTTGGAACTCAAAGGATGAAACACAATCTGTGTCTGAGGGCAGAAAATGGGTTTATGAATGATTTATTTGTGTTATGTCCTTCATAAAGATATTTAATATAATATAAAGACTTTACCTTAGGCTGAAAAGAATGTTTCTTTTCTCGATTTTAGCAACTATTGTTAAGATTTTATGGGTGTGATAATAGCTTTTCCTGATTCTTATAATAGCTTTCTCCTCTGATACATGAAGATAAAGTGGCTTCTTCTTTTTTTTTTTTTTTAAAGTGGCTTCTTAATAGATATATAGTTGCTGTTTTTAGCAAATTGCATAGGTCCTACTTTAAAAAACAATTAGTGGAAACTGGTTTCTATAGTAGTTGAAGTGTTTGAAAGCCTGCTTTAAATCGATAACCTGTCTTTCTGTTTAATATTTCCCTGGGTTCCTCTGTGCCTGTTTATCTCATTCGTGACCTATGTCTTTGTACTCCCGTTATTTTTCAGATTCTTTTCTTTCCTCTGAAGTGATTAGCTTTTGGTTAAAGATTCAGGTAGAAAGATATGTCAATTAAACTTCTCTTTAATTGAAGAAAAGTCAAGTTTGTCTGACTTTTTGTCAACAGTTAAAATAATTTTTACTTTTAAATAGATGCTGGATTCCACTCTATGTTAACTAAATTGTATTTAAATAAAAAATATACATATGCTGGATTTGTCATTTATGAAGGAAAAAAAATACTACAATGCCAAAATGTAAATTTATAGAGGCTAAAGAAAAGCAGTTCCATTGTAACAAATGAGTTCTAATTTTATTTTATTTTTTTTTTAGTTCAGACAATTCCAATGTGAAGAAAATAAAGATTTCTTCATTTACAGAAATGTCATTCTTGACACTGAGGTGATAGTCCAGGAGGACACATGGAGGTGAAGCTAGTCCATGAAAGTAGCACTTGCTAAGTCCGTTGGCCCAGTCTCTCTGTTTGCTTGTCTATGAAAAACCATGACTGATTCTTATTTTTTACTCCATAGTCTTCCAGAAACTTCAGCATCGTTGCCAAACCCTCCATCAAAGGTAAGGAGCTGTGACTAAGATATCTTTGGGGGACTTGGAAAAATAGTACATTTTTATCACATAGGTTTAGTGCGCTCTAGTCCATTTTAAAGCATACTAAATCCTCCTTGGGTGGAATGATGTTGTGTGGATTAAAGGTTGTAAGGAGCTCTCCATCAGTATTTTTTTATTTTTGTAGATTTGTAGATTTTGTAGATTTGAAGATTTTGTAGATTTTTTTTGTAGTGCTAAGAAAACCAGGTAAGAGTTTGTTGTACCAGATACCTACCAAAAGGTCTCATAGATACATAATTAAGATTCTGCCTTGAATTAGCTTGAGTTGGCTGGGTCCCACAATTACCCTGATTAATCATCAGGAATACTCGACAGATAACTACAACTCATTTTGCCCGATCTAACTGTTATGGGCGCAGAGGTGAACAGAGCATGACTTTGCCACACAAAGAATCCTTTGAGCAAGGATAGCCAAACTTTTTCTTTCTGTGCTAGGAATGATCAGCGCAACTGTGTCTTGCAAAAAACCCTCCTCTTCCAGATGTTCTCAAACTGCCACCCACAGCTCCTCGGCCCCATGGGCCGCAGCTTGTTTTTGTCTCCCAGATGCGGAGAGCAGAGAAGCCAGTGGTAAACCGCACCTGATGGCAAACCGCAGCGTCCTTCAGTCCAGGCTTGATCTCAGACAAGTGAGCGCTGCTCAGAGACAGGGAAATAAATACATGCACCAGCTCATCTGTGAGGCCATTCTCTTGCCAACAGAATAATGGATGCCTCGAGACTGGAAAGTGCATGTTGAAGAACTTTCCTCTCCCCCGGCCTTCAAGGTGGCCAACATGCTTGGATTTTTTTTTTTTTTTTTTTTGTATCATGTCCTGTTTGGAGGTTGTGGCGGCTCCGAAAGCACTCATTACTTTGACTTATGAGAAGGACAGAAAATTTCAAGTGCATCAGCCTTAGCGGTGGCCATTTTCAGCAGGCTGTCAAAGGAGCACCATCCTTTTCCTTTGGGAGGAATAGCACTGAGCAGAGGTCAGCTGCTGTAAGGCCTAAGGTCCTTCTAGGTAAGACCCACGTTTCTTCCAGTCTGGTAGTTCATCTCTGACAGTAGCTCTGGAGGACAGAGGCATGCTTGCCTTGCTGGAACTAAGAAGATGGGCATATTTGTTCCTCTCTTACTTCTCTCCTTCCAGAAACAAAGCATCTTTCTTTCTCCCAAATATCTGTCTTCCTTAGTAACTTAGAGATCATTCGTGAAGGATCAAAGCCTGTTCTTGAAGGTTTGGCCTTTGATAATGGGTATCCAGGGTAATGCATTTCCTACATTTACTTTTAACCCGGTTTTCTGTTTGCCTATTTTAATTTCCAAACTTTAAATCGTTTGTGATGTCATAGTGTATGATTCAGATCAGGGGTCGGCAGTCTTATCCTGTAAAGGCCACATAGTGACAGTTGGAGGCCTCACAAGGCAGATGGTCTGTATCACAGATCCTTAGCTCCACTATGGGAGCACAGAGACTGCCGCAGACGATTTCTGAACAGATGCGGGCGGTGGCGTTCTAGCCAAACTTCGTTTATAAAAACAGGTGGCTGGCGGGGCTGGGCTGGCGGGTGGTTTGCCAAGCCCTGATCTAGATCTCACAGTCCTGCTTCTCCTAAACCTCAGCCTCATCTCCTGGGCTGCTTAGTTGCTGTTCGAGGTCTCCCAGTCTGTGATGTCTGGCTGGGGCTCTCGTGTCTGGAGTGCAAACTGGACAGGTGATGTACCACGCTTTAAACAAGCTTAGGATAACATCTTCTGCCAGCCTTCTTGTCTGTGTCTGGGATTTGATCGATTCTTACAGTCATACAGTTGATGGTTTTCAGCAAATCCATTCCAGTGGCTATTAGGTGTCTTTGTATCTGTGTGTAAGATAGCATAAAGCCTGGCATCCTTAATATGTTTGCATTATTTTCTTACTATCCCATGTTTGCCTGTGTCGACACTCAGCCTCCAGCCCCCGCGCTCTTCCATCGTTTGCATTTATCGCTGGCAGAGCTGAGTGCAGTCAGTGGACTGGAGATACTCTGGAGTTCCTTCCTGCAGATCATCTGTAAGAATAAGACCCATCCTGGCATTAATTCCAGTGGTGCTCTGCTCTTGGCTCTTCTCTTGCCAGAACTGCGTCCATTCAGTCGCAGCCTTTGTTACTGTCTTAATGAGCCATTTTCTGTTTCTTCTGAAATATTCCCCCCAGACCTGTAGTGATTTGGTCTTTTTTTTTTTTTTCTTTGAAAGTAGGCTCCATGCCCAGCATGAAACCCAACACAGAGCCCAACACGGGCTTTAAACATACAACCCTGAGACAGAGACCTGAGCTGACATCAAGAGTCGGACTCTACACGCCCCTATTTGGTCTTTTAAATAAGAACAGTTCAAATAAGTGTAACAATTGTGATTCTTTCAAACATAATCAGCATGTGCTGTAACATTAGAAAAAGTTCAGTGCAGAGGCTGATCACAGTCATCTTTTTTGTGACCACTGATTACCAGTGTCCTGTTTGATACTATTAAAACACCTGAACAAGTCATCATCTCTGTATATGGGACACCTCTGTATACTTACAAAGAAGCACTTTTCATCTTTAGCTCTTGTCTTGAACATTTTTCATTTCACCAGCAAAAAGTGACTATGCCCAAGCATTTATAGTGACATCTATAGTAGAACATTTTGCCACAGAGGAGCACAAACCATCTTATAACTTTAAGCTTTTTGCAGTTTGAGACAATTATAGCCTTCGTCGTTATGACCTGTGAGTTCCACTCTCCTGGTTGAAGATACTTTTCTAGTAAAAATATGCATCACCTAAACGCCCTTTATTGATCTTAATTTTTAAGTAGAAACATATTCTTAAGAAAGTTGCTTATATACCTACTTTGCTGGTAGTAGTTCATTCGTGATAAGCTAGTCTTTTTCTTTTGAAGATTCATTTGCTGGAGGTTGCTGTGTGACCAAGAGAAAGTGTTGCCATATGATGTTCTATATTTCCAGGAGGTCCCCCCTGATTCTTTACAGTGAAGAATTTCAAGACACGTTGTTTTATCCCTTTCAGTTTTAGACATCTGCCATGGCATGTTTTAAAACTAACTCCACAGCTCTTTGTTTGGCAAATGCTGGGTTATGAGGAGGGAGGCTGGGAATAAATTTGCATTTCCTAGGGAAGATCCACATTGGGTCTTTCAAACCTGGTGTCTCCACAAAGAGCTTGAAGATCTGCAGAAATCCAAGTTGTGGTCACATGCAGTCAATTCTCTATGTTAAACATCAAGACTTACCTGCCCTGTTATGGGCCTTTTACATAGTAAATGTGTCACAGTTCCTTCCATAATGTGAACATTAAGACCACAGTCTAGCTTTTGACAAGGCTATCACATTCATTGGTACAGAATGCCCACGTGAAAGGTGAAAACATAAGTAAAGGTGGACTTAGTTGTACTGGGCCTCATGGAAAGAGCTCTTGTCCAGAAATGGAGATCTCACGCCTTGTCCTCTGCTAAGTGGGCTTAAGTCATTTGTTTACTCTCTCTGTGCTTCCTTCTCCCGCTGGCTGCTTGCCTTGCAGGGTTGTCCCTGTGTGGACAAAATGAGATAATTGAATTGAAAGGAGGTAAGAACATGAAGCTATACAAAATGGTAATAACAGAATAATGTGCCTTATTCCTAAATGGACATTACACCAGCCCAGAAGGTGAATGAAGTGGTGTTTCTGGCTGGACTCCTGGCCCCCTTAGAGGGAATTTTTATCTTTGACTTATGTGCCTGCCTTCACGCCTTTAGACTGTAAGTCAGCAGTCTCCTAAATGCCTCCCAGTCCCGGTACATACAAAATATGTGATCAGTACCGCTAGACTGCCCAACGGGTTAGGTCACGGACTCACCCTAGCGTATCCCCCCCACCACCGACGCTGTTTCTCAGAAGGGATATGTGGCTTCTTTCCCCCAGATAATTGACAAAATGCAGAGTAAGCCCTTTGCAGGGTCTGCTACTGTTCCATTTAGCCTTGATGCGGGTCCAAATGGACCCCACTGTTTTTTAAAAAATGGATTGACATGTCAAGGTGACATTTGACATCACTTCACTGCTCTAACATTGCAGAAAGTAAAGTTATCTGATGAGCCTGTAGAAGCAAAAGAAGATTACACTAAGTTTAACAGGAAAGATTTGAAGACTGAAAAGGTATGTGCGTCCAGCCGGAGTGGCATATTCCTGGATTCAGTAGGTGGCCCTGAGGACATCCGGGAGTGATTTCATGCTTGATTCTGATGTTACAATTTTAACCACAAAGGATTATGAACTTGCCTTTCTGTGACTCAGTAATTAATTCAAAATTATGAATGACAATGAATATGTCATGCCAGGAAGATTTTTTCTGAATCAAGGCAAGGCACTATACTTAGCAAGAGCATGCCTACACTTTGCTGTGTATTTAGAGTAGGGGGGAACAGAAGGGGGGGAGCTTCCACAGCTCATTTTCTGTCAACTCTACTGCCTGGAAGCTTCCCCGAACTTATAATGATGACAGTAATTATTAATAACCCTACCGTTCAGCAATCAGCCCAGCAAATATTTTTGTAACCTTTCTTACAAAGTTTTATTTAATACATACATTATAAAAATATATACAGCTTTTAAAATTGGCATTTTAATATATTTAAAGTTTTAGGGTTCTGTCCTCTTCAGTTAGTAGTATATTGTGAAAATGTTCTCATGTCATTAGGCATTCTCTGACAAATTATTAATGGTTTCATGATATTCAATCATTTGTGTTATTTTATTTCACTATAGGGCATATAATCTATTTAATCATTCCCCTGTTTTTGGACACATAGGTTATTTCTGCCTTTTTCATTCTTTGTTTAAATGAAGTGATAAACATTCTTATTTATAGTCTGTATCTCTGATTATTTCATTACACACAATTTAGAACTAAGAGTAAGGGCTTAGAAAACATGAGCTCTTTCCATGATTATTGAGAGAATATATATGTGTGTGTGTGTGTGTGTATGCTTTTGATTTTATCCTATATATTGTATTATATATAATAATATATATGATTTTATCATATATATTTTATCATATTTAGTCATGTAAATGACTATATATTATATATCATATATATAATCATATATATGATTGATTGTATGTGTGTATACACAATATATATGTAAAATGCTTTCCAAAAATGTAAAAATTTGTATTTCCAACCATTATTGCTACAAGATTGCTTATCTTGCTTTCTTGACTACACTGAATATTATTTTTATTCTTGAAAATTTTTGGCTGTCTAATTAGGGTACATTTCTTCGATGAGAAAGGTTAGTTGTTTTTCCAAATGCTTATTTGTCCGTTTGCATTTTTAGAAGTTGTCAGTTCATGTCCCTTGCCCATTTTTTGTATTGGGATAGTGTTTTTCTTGTTGATTTTTAAGAGCTTATTCTAGATTAGGAATTATTAACACCTGATGACATACAGGGTACAAATAACTCTATAATTTGTGTTTAGCCTTTCATTTGATTTTTTAAAGTTTTAAGTTTTTCTGAGGATAAAATGTAGGAATTGTTTTTCCTTGTGACTTTCTCATTATTTTTATGCTTAGACTTTGTCCATCCCAAGATAAATTCACGTCCTCTTAGATTTTAACAACATTCTCTCTCCTTAGCATTTAATGTTTTTTATAGATTTTATTCTTTGATCTGTATGTAATTTATCTGGGCATGTGATGTCAGGGGGATAATCCCAGCTGAGATTTGGCAAGATAGCTAATTATCTCCATGGCTTCCTAAGCAGGGACGTTGAGTTTCTCTGCGAGTACTAATTCTGCCCACCCTTGTAACTGTGGCTTTTTGTTACGTCTACTTGGGCACAGCCCCAGGGAAATAGGGCTGGGCCAGGATGTGTCAGTTAAATACGGAAGATAACTGGTCACAAAAAGCCATCACTTCTCACCATCCAGCCCAAAAATAAGCCTCCTAAGATGTAAGTGACAGAATATGAGAAGCAAGATTTCAGGGATCATATACTGTGCCTGTAAAAGCTTCTTTGACAGTGACTTTGTCTCCCCGTTCTCAGGGAGACAGATGAGTTTTTCCCTTTGCTGAGTCCCATCAGGTTTGCTTCTGCTGGAGAAGGTGAGATGCACTGAAGCACAGTCAGCGGCTGTTCACCTGCCGGCAGTGCTAGTTCAGGATATGGCACAAAACCAAACCAAAGCAAAACAAACAAACAAAACACAGGGACCAGGAATTTCAAAGGCAGAGTTACTTGAAGTCAGCTTTTTGGCAAGTATTTCTCTGTTGGAGGAAAACTGGGGCAGTCATCCTGCTTGTCCAGGATGCTCTTCGGTACGGGTTATTTTTTGAATATAATAGTGTTGTCCTTGGTTTCCCGTAGAGCCTATGAGTAAATTGCATCAGTCCATGGTGGTGAATTATTCATTGCACAGAACCGCCAAGCTGGCATTCCTCTGTGACAGTCGCGCCTGTGTCAGCTCCTTTGTTGGTGTTATTGTACTTCATATACCCTCCAGAATTATCCCCGTAAAGTAAACCGTTGGCTGTAGCATTCCACTCCTTAGAAGGTGGCAGTTTGGTCTCCCGCCCCTTTTACTGGATTTTGTGTCTTAGGTCTGAATTCTGAATGGAAATCAGATTTAAAAATAATAATAATAATAATAATAATAATAATAATAATAATAACTCCTTTATGAAGCATGTTAGCAGCCAGTAGTTCTCTTCATGAACCTTGAGACATGCATGCATGGTCTTGTTTGATTTGCATGTACGATTTATAAAGGTTAGTTACATTTGTAATAATTCTTCTCTTATTTTCCTTAACAGAAAAATAGCAAAATGACTGCAGCTCAGAAGGCTTTGGCTAAAGTTGACAAGAGTGGAATGAAAAGTATTGATTCCTTTTTCGCTACAAAAAATTTAAAAAAAATTGGAGAGATCTGAAACTTTGGAAAATGAAATCTAGCCAAAATATTTGCCTGTTCCATGTTCCATTTTTGTCCTTCCCCCACACCACTGTGCCTCCTGACCCTTAATTACCACCTTTTGGGAAAAAAAAAAAAATGAGGGCAATTTTCAGAGTCAAACATTTCTTGGTATTTGGTTTTTGTGTTTCTGAACAAAATGTGGGAAAGTCATTGTGTAACTTCATGGCTTGTAGCCTTCAGACTCTTGTTTGACATCATGAAAAGTAATCAAGTGAATAGAGTTAGCCTCTAGCTAGCATCACAGTTTCCTCAATAAACTGGCGTGTGACAATATTTGAGTGTATGCCTGTTCTTTTAAGCCACTCTGCCACATGGAAGTGACAACAATATGATTTTCAGCATACTGACAGAAATCAGATAACCGCGATCAGAGAAACCACTACTTTTTCAAAGCCTTGACTTTTTAGTAAATCTTCTGTTGAATATTTTCCGTCCTATGAATCTGTGTTTGTTGTAGAAAATAGAGAAATGCATAATATTAAAATTGTAATCGCCCAACGTGACATTACCCAAAGATCATATGGCACGTGTTCTTGTAATAATTTTTTTAAGGAATTGTAATAGTAATTTTATCATCTTCTTTCTTGGCAACATCATTTTGTGAGCATTTTCCCAGGCTACTAAAGTATTCTTCATAAATATGCTTTTTTAATGATGGTCCTTTTTTAATTATTTGGATATGTGATTATTTAATGTCCATGACCCTCTTTTGGACATTTAAATTGCTTACAAGTGTTCACTCTTTGAAGAATCAGATTACATGTCAATGTTTGGTTCACAACTTTTATTGATCCCTTAGAATGGATTTTAGATGTGGGCTTCCCAGTTTGTAACAGAATTGTCCAAATACGTATTTGTGGGTAGATCTTTCATAGAAAGCATACAGGATCTTACACTGTAACACATGGTCGTTTCAGTTCTTATCTTATTCACTGCCCCCTTGTTAACTTTGAATGTTAGCTTTGCAAATAAGTGGGGGGAAAGGCATTTTACTGTCATTTTAATTCACATATCCCCATTAGTAATAATGTTGAACATTTTTCACATTTACTTAACCATTCATCATCTTCTAAAGAATTATCTGTGTATGTCCTCTGTTAAATTGTGGCAGTGGCAGTGTTTTTCTTATGGACTCTTAGAGATATTCTATAACTTAAAGACATTAGTTTTTGTCCACTGTGTTCATTGTAAATTTTTTCTTGGTCTGCAAATTGTCTTCAATTTTGTGTATGATTTTTTTGTCATGCAGATGTTTTTGGTTTTTATGTAGGTACACACATATGTATGTGTGTGTGTGTGTGTGTGTGTGTGTGTGTGTGTGTGTATGGTAACATACCACTATATATAGAGAGATAGAGAGATAGATACTTATATCTATAGATATATATAGATATATATATATATAAACTTTTCCTTTATATCGATTTACATACATTTCCTTTGCAGGAAAGTTAACCAGTCACTTCTTATGATTTTTTAATAATTAATTTTTTGTTTTATATTTAATTACTTAAATCATCTACAAAATTTATATTTAAATATGCTGTGAGATAAAGCTCTAATTTGATTGTTTTCTTACCTGTTGATTTTTCCATTAGAGCTCTACAATTATTTTGTCAGGGTTCAAGAGTAAGTTCCAATGGGATTTTTTATTGAGATTTTTGTTAGACACATAAATTATTTGGAGGAAAAACAGACATGTTTATAAAATTCCTTTTTGCTGTTTAGGAATGTAGGATTTCTCTATATTTGCTAAAATCCTAACCATACCTTCTGCTACCATTTTGCTCTTCATCTTCATATAGGTTCTAAATACTTCTTTTTAGGCATATATCTGGGTACTTTTGTCTAGTAATGAAATCTATTTTTTAGTCACATCTTCTAACTGGATATTTTGTGGTAAACTTCTATATTTTTACATATTTATCTTTTAAATAACCAATTTACTAAACTATTAATTTAACTTTATTATATTCATATTGGGGTTTTGATACATAAGGTATGTAATCTTGGAAAAAAATGGGTGCAATTCTAATAGTTATACCTCTTTGATCCTTTATATCCTTTTACATGGGTGACAATACCCAGAACCGTGTTCAAGAGTAATAATAGTAGTCAATCTGTCTGATTTGTGATTTGATTAATGTATGTTACCATTAATTCTGACACTAGCTGTTGTTAATATGAAAAAGAATATCTATTTTTGATATTTCCTTTCATACTTTGTTTCCTTAAAGTTTTAATTAGTAATTGGTGTTCGTTGTTATCAAATATGTTTCTAGCACCTCTTGAGGTGATGAGGGAGTTTTTATCACTGTTGAACTGTACTTGAGTTCCATGATAAACCCTCCCTGACATTGTATAAAGAATACCACAGTGTATGCTTCTGGGCTAGCTATGTCAAATCTAGCTGTTAATTTGTTTTTCTGGGCTTTTACTTAGAATTTTCTCTTCTGTATTCAAAAGCAATATTGCTGTTAGGTTTTAGTGTTAGAATCGTGCTAACCTTCCCATTTTGACCAGTGTTCTGGAAGGAAAAATTTTGCATAGGAACACTCTATTATTGGGCCATATTTAAGAAAATGGTAAAACTGTTTAGCACTGAGACTTCTTTTTTGTTATTGTTACAGTCTTTAATCTGGAGAATTTCTCACCTGGTCTTTGTCTTACTTGACCTTGACATTACTGAAGAGTACAGGCTAGTTACTTGGCAGAATGTTCCGCACTTTGAGTTTGCCTGACGTTTCTTCTTGACTAGATCCAAGCAATACCTTATGGGTACCCACAGAGGTAACGATGTGTCTTTCTCAGTGAACTATCTCAGGATCCCTAGTGTGACCCACTTCCAGTGACATTCACTTTCATTCACTTTGATACAGGTTTATCCACTGTAGAGTTACTACTTTTTTCTTTGTAATTAATAGGCAATTTGTGGGAAATACTCGGGGACTTGTAAGTATGCTATTCCTTATCAAACGTTCACCGACAAGGTTTAGAATCGACTGGTGATTTTTCTAACTCCTTCATTTTGTCTTTATTTATTTCTTTCATATTTAGCTGACATTTTCTTTAAGAGGAATAGCTTTCTTTCTCTACTTATTTATTCATTTATGAACTTATATCAGTATGTAATTGTAGATTTTGTATTTTGTCCAGTGGGTTTCTTCTTCTGTTCCAGGGTCTTCCAGGTGCTTGTACTGTTTCTGCTCAAGCTGTGAATCAGCCTTTCTCCTAAACAGCCAAGGTTCCTTTTCATGGAGAATGATATTTAGAAACCAAAATCTAGGCACAGGATGTGCTCATTCCTTCTATCCATCAATGTGTGTGGTCTTTGTAGATTTCTCTTCTATTCCCAGTTCACCAAGAGTTTTGATCAGGAATGGATATGAATTTTGTCACATGTTTTTTCCTCATTTATTGAGATGCTCATGTAGCTTTCCTTTAATAACAGATTGTCTTTTAATATGTGAAGTACAATGATTGATTTTTGAAAGTTAAAATACCATTATATTCCTGGGGTAAACCCAACTTGGTCTATAGTGTATTATTCTTTTCATATACAGTATTGTGTTTTACTTCCTAATATTTTGTTAAGGATTTTTATATCTCCATTCATGAAGAATGTTGGTCTGTGGTCTTCCTTACTTGTAATAATTCTGTCTAGTTTTGGTATCAGAGCAAAACTGACCTCAGAAAATGAATTGAGAAATATCCTCTCATCACCTATTTTCCGAGTTTATATGAGATTAGTGATTGTTTCTTCCTTTTATATTGGACAGAATTCAACAAATGAAGCCATTTGGGCCTGGAATTTTCTTTCTAAGAAAGTTTTTAATTACTAATTCAATTTCTGTAATAGGTATAGAGCTATTCTAATTTTCTTTTGTATGTGTATATGCCAGTTTTAGTAATTTATGTCTTTTAAGAAATGTGTTTGTTTCATCTGTGTTGTCAAATTTATTGGCATAACTATTTCTCATATTTTTAGTATCTTTTTTATATCTGTGCATCTGTAGTCATTTCTTTTTTCATACCTTGTTGGTCATGTGTATCTTTTTTGTTTTCTTAGTTAATCTAGCTGAATATTTTGTAATTTCTTTGATCCTGTCAGAGAATCATTGTCTTGTGGCTCATGTTATGTCTAATGAGTCATCTGTGATACTTTTTGTATTTCTTCTACTTTATATTAAAGGGTGTCCCCTTTCCTCCTGGGCTTCTTTTAAGATTTTTTTCTTTATTACTAGTTTTCAGCAAGTTGATTATGATGTGTTGATGTTTTCTTTGTGTTAACTTGTTTGTGGGTGTATTGAGCTTCTTGAATCTTTGAGTTTGTAATTTTCATCAAATTTGGAAAATTTCTGGCCAGTGTTTCTTTAAATATTTTTCTGCTTTTTTTCTTCTCACCCCCTCAGCTTCCAGGACTTCATTTACATGTGTGTTAGACCACTTGATAATACTCCACCATCCTTTCACTGAGTTTCTGGATTTTGTTTTATTTTATGTTCATGTTAGACAATTTTCTTGTATTTTCAAGTTTACTTTGTCTTGTAGTGTTTCATCTTCCATTAACCTTAGCTAGTGAATTTTTATTTCAAATATGGGAATTTTCAGTTCTAGATGCTCTATTTGGTTCTTTTTTAAGTCTTTCCATTTCTCTCATTGTGTTTTCTTTAAATATTTCGTTATAGTTACAATAACTCCATAAATGTCTACTGGTTGCATCATCGCTGTCACTTCTGGGTCTCTTTCTCTTTCTTTTTCTTTTTCTTTATTTTTTACTTCGAGATAATTTTAGATGTACAGGAAAGTTGCAAAAACAGTAGAGTTTCCATATACTTTTCACCCAGCTTCCTCTAATGTTAACACCTGACATAACCATAGTATAATTATCAAGTCCAGGAAATTTACAATAATGCAATACTATTAACCAATCTACCACCTTCTTGGAGTAGTACTGTTCTGAGCTCTTTGCTCTATGTGTAAGTCCTTTAACCCCCACAACAGCTAGAGTCATAGGGTGGGCACCATAGCAGCCAGGATAGTGACAGCCAACCCAAAGGGCTTGCTTAAATCCCTTGGCCCTTTGCTTTTATTACTTATATCGTTTATCTTTTTGATTAATGTGCTGATATGGGGTAGGCTTCTAAAATTTTCTTCAAACTAGAAAACCGCTATGTACACACACCTCCATCATTTTCCTCAAACCATACATATTTCTGAAACGGATCTCAGATTACCAACATTCTTTTCTTTGTGTGTCTGGTTTATCTTCA